CTTGAAACAGACAAATCAGGAATCATGATTATCCTCAATCATTAAACACAATCATCAACATAATATCATTATAATAAGCAGTTGCGAAAGCATTATTTTTGTAGTCAAAATTCAAAAATTCCAAAAGTATTTTTATGACGTCACACCTCATTGAGGTTCAGTCAGGGTTCTTATAATCAATACACCCCAAGTCTTGATACAGTTGTAATAATTACAATCATGATCATGGTCATCGACAATAAAGATCACATCTGCACGGTCATGTCCACAATAATTATGCTTAACTATACTTTAATCGAGGGAAGTCTCATATTTACAAGCTAATGTGTTTTAACTTTAATTATATCATGAGATTTCGTTTAAAGATTCATTACGACCAAACCTCAACAAGCTTCAAGTTACCATTACGTTTTATGTTTCCATTTGTGTTGACTTTCTACTAAGGTGACCCAGATAAGAAATATTATTTTATTTGCATAGACTAGTTATTTCTTAATTGTAAAATATCGTATGGTTTTTCTCTGTTTAATGAAGATCGATCATCTAAAGACGTAGAGTAACGAAATTTCTTGCCTCTTTGCAAAATATCATTGGCGTTTGCAAGGTAATAAATAGCATTGGCCACTTTTTTAAAATGTGAATAAAAGTTGAAGAACACAGAAAATAAGCGTCAAAATTGCATATTTTCTATTCCATTTTGAAACATGCGGGTGTCACCGTCAAGGTGAAATCTATTCGGTAGATGATTATTTTCTTGGAATTCTTTTCCAATCAATATTGTTTTTCAGCTTTCAATTTTCTCCCAAATTTATTTGTAAAGTTTAATCCTGATGACCCCACTGGTGTCAAACACATCTCCGAGTTCGCAAATGGCACCAATACGAATTCTTTATACCGTCTGGGTCACAAAACATTATCAATGGACAATCCCTTCAACAAAAGATCAAGAAACGTTGGTCCAAGCAGAATTTGGTGTTACTCTTCTAACACAGCAAGGTCCAAAACTGATATACTTTTACAATTGGATTATCTGTCTTTCGCTTGAAATTTTTATAAAATTTAGTAAACAAAATCTCTAGAGCCTGTAAGATTATCCTGTAAGTAAAGGGAATCTCGGCCGCTGGGCTGCACACCTGCGCAGCAGCACTAGAACCCTGCTCTTGTTGTAAGATCATTAACCATTACCATGATAAAATCCTCCTCCCCAGGACCGTGAAGTTCGGCGTTGCTGTGAAAAACCCAGGCCACCAATAATAATTTCATACAATAACAGGCTAAAAAGCATGGGTTGGATTTATATAATAGGTATAAATTTAGGTCGAGTAGTATCTTCCAGAATTGCTCTAGTGATATCCTTCTGCACCTGGCCTTAAGATTGATCGCCACAGAATAGGATATTGAAATGCGAGAAAGATATTGAAAAGTTTAGAATAAATTCAATCCTTACACCAAGCTTTTTCTCTTGGTTTCCATAGTCTTTTGCATACTGATTGTAGAGAGAAAAATGCCTATATTGGGAAGTATTAAAATGTTTTGAGTTGTTCTGCAAATATATTTGAAGTTATATATTTGAGCTATGGAGTTCAAACATTTCACAAAATAAATTTCTTAGTCACGCATCACAGGGCTAAAAGTTTCAAAGCTATGAGGAGCGGGGGAATGCGAGATCCAATCATTTATTCTCATAAGTACTTACCTGCGGCCGTATATTTAATAATCAATTAAAAATTCTCTAAAGGTGCAATGCAATCTTTCTTCTAATAAGAAATGGACACAAACAAACCCTGTGATGCAATTAAGCAGCGTAATCGCCAAAAAACAGTAACTTCCTATTTTTAACAGTATCAGTTTTCATTTGGGGGATATCGATGTAATGAATTATCAATATTCTCGCTTCATAGGACATGTATGTCGCAGATATCGGATTTTCGAGCGCACTTTTCAATCCAATGAGATAGGATTAACTTCCAGGACAATGCAACCTAATACCATTACAATTATACAATAACTTCAAAGTTTGCAAATGTAAACACCGTAGCAATATAATGCTAGGATCAAGCAATGCCGAATTGCCTTTTCACGAGCTTTCATTACATAGGAATCTGTACCTTGCTGCTTACCAAAACAAGCGAAGCTGAACAATGAGTTGTCTATTATCCCTCAAAGCCCCCAAAGAAAAAAACGCTGGCCTCTGTTTCATGTGCGAATCTTCTCTTGGCTGGCTTTTGTTCAGGGGACGGTGTGGAAGAGTTCTTTAAGAAAATGTTTGGAAATGGCAGGTAGCATTTTCAAGTCAAGGGAGGATAAAAGTAGCAAATGCGAACAAAATATGTATAGATAGAATTGTGAAAGTATATCTAAAGTGTTTCTTAGAACTGTAGAATTAACGAGATATTGCCTGAAGCAAATCGAATTTATATATCACTCAGAAAGCTTCTAGCAAATAATGCTTTATCAGGTGCAAGTTTGATAATTTTCTAGACTGAAAGTAAATGCACAAGCACCTTTTATAAGCTTGTTTATAAGACTTTGGGAAATACACGGTGGATCATTATAATGTCTCAAAGTGTATATTCAGCATTAAATGGTGCTATTTTGATCGACCAGCATTGTTGGTTTTATCTTGCAACTGCTACTGATAAAATTTCAGTGTATTTTTCCATACATGTAATTGCAGGGATCTCTTGATCAGTGCAGATCAGGAGCCGGCTTGAAAGGAGGGATTGTCTGGTAGACGCCCAGCATAATTACCTTAAAGTGAACGTGAGGAGATAAGACAAAAACTGTAGCTACGACAACAATACACTGCATACCCCAATTCAAATTGAAATAAGAAATCTAATTTGGCTCTAGTGAATATCAAGGAATTCTGCAGATCTGAACTTACTCAGTCTACTGACTTTGAGTAGGCTTAAGAAGCTTTACAATTGTTGGTTGATACTGTTCAAATGTTAGCACAATGAAAACGATGTTATCTCCACAGATATGTTTATTCAATAAAAGACGTGATTCTGTGTCACATAGCCCTGAAGATAAATGGATTGGGCGTTTTTCAATTCGCAGGCTTTATCTCGAGTCATTTTGACATATTTTCTCTGCTTATTTAATAAGGTTATACTTTGTTGTTTTCGTTCGTCGCTGAGTCACTCGACCCTTTACTTTTAGGTGCAAGGAATAACACGGCTTTGTATACTACATCAAGCCTATAAACCTCAGCATACAGAATTGTAAAACTTTTATTTGCACCTCATTATGTTTATAGTGGCAGGCTCAACCAGTCCTTAATCACTATCTTTGTTATTTTCTGTGTGGACCTTGTATTCAAATAAATTAAGAATTAATGTAGGTGGTCTGTTGTTCTGATCAGTTTCGTAATTAAACGCAATGAATCCACTGTCTTGTCGTTTTGCTTGACTATCTGTGCGGACAAGTGGTTACATCTCAAATGGACAGGCAACAAGCAAGTCTTTCGTTATGCAGTTGTCTGCAATGCTCATTATCGACACGTTGTAGCGACATAAATTTGATATTCTTTCCAAATAAGGCGAAATTATTTACTGATTTCGAGGTCACTTATTCACTGGCTTTTTTAATGAAATTATTAACTCCTGAGGTGACCACCTTAATTTGAAATACTTCATGTTGCACTGACTTGCCCCTTTTGTTGTTTGGAACAATATATACAGATGCATTCCATAGGCCGCATTCAAAAACTGTTGATCAACTTATGCTACTTCAAAAGTTTCGAGCCAAGCAACAGATCTCAAACCAAGCAACAATCATTGCCAGAAATGTGCACATATGCTTTGCGTTTACAGATACTTAGCGTAGCAATCAGTCACTTCCCTTCAATGTCCTGGACAGGATTGAGATTCACCGCAAGTGAGTGCGACCTCGCGTCTGGAAAACTTTCCACCTTCCTTCTCGCGTCTGGAAATCTTTTCACCTTCCTTTATGCCAATAATCCCTCGTGTTTACCTTCAATTAAAGAAGAAACAGACGTTTTTCTCGACTGTTAGTAAATCTTTAGTGCTTGCTAATTGGGCTTTTGCCTATTAACCATTCTAGCCGGCAGTTTATGCGCTGCGCCTTAAAAAATATCTTGACCATGTGTGACCGGAACTTCTTTCCTCAGCTCCTTGATATCTGCTTACCGCACGGTTTAATGAAAGTTGCGCGGAAATATCTTGATAGCGGCACAATAAAACCTTGAGATGATTTATAGCAATTTGAGTGAAGCTGTTGAATAGACTGTATCGGATATTTTGTGTTAATGTCAAGCCTAAATCAAATATTTTGCAATGGGGAAAACCGTGTTTAGCCATAAACATCATTAAATTTCACAGAGTATGAAAATTCCATGTAATATCGGGTGCCTTTCAGGGAGAAGTGAACGGCTGTTGTATGAATCAGTTTCCTAAGTTAAGTAAGAAGCAGCACTAAAAAAACCTTCTTTCAATAATCAAGTCTCTGTAGTAGAAAATTTTGTCTTTGTTTTGTTTTTCTATTTAGATTTGTGTTTTTGCTGACTGTGACATTGTCTGTATAGATGGAATAATTTGAATGAAATGTCTCTCTTGGAATAGCCGATATTGTGATTTTTACTGATTGAAAAATATTATTAATGTTTAAATTTGCAATTAGCGTTGATATAATATAGCAATATAATAAGTATGTTGTCTGGAAAAGCTTTCACCTCTCAAATATTTTCAAAAACTGGTTTAAGATATGCGAAAGTCATTTAGGAACAGTAAGACACGCCATTCTTTTGGCCACTGTTCAAATATTGAAAGGAAATGAAATGAAGGTTTGTGTCTAAGAAGGGTTGGCTTTTTAAAGTTTTTCTGTTCTTTGCCTTTTTAGTTTATTGTCTTTATCATGACAGTATATTGCATGCTTATATTAGAATGGAATCACAAGTTACTGACATCATCAACGTAGACGATTGAAAAATTCCTATCGCATTGTTTATTCTATCTTCTTGTTCATTCATTTCACAGACATGAACGTCATCCGCTCCCCACCTGCCTGGGGATTTCACCAGTTCCCTCCAGGACTATACAGTCAAAGCCTTTCACCAGCAAATACAGCAGCTGATGCTTATACCCTTGTGCATTCATCGATGCCTGGTACGTATCCTTCCATGCAACCTTCAATTACTGACGGAAAAGGAGAACACGCATCGATGCAGGCTGGCTATCACGATCCAAGATCTGGTAGCTATCCTCAAATTGCTGCTGTTCCATCTCCAAGAAGTACGCCAACATCATCTTCGGAGACCCCTGGCTCGCTGGCGCCTTCGCAAGGAATGCACGAAGCGGTACAGACGAATGCCAATGAAACCGGTATCGTTCAAAACGGCATCATGATGGGCACGCCATCTACTTACCCGAACACTAATCCATTTATATCGGGAAATAACGGAATGAGCAACAACAATTACATAAGTCTCAGCCCCTCCGGGGGCCTAAACTTGCCTTTTCGTCAACAAGCCGGATACCCGGTACCAACCGAACCAAACCGGACAAACGAGGAGGAGCAAAGTGCGGTAACAAGTGTCGGAACCTACGGATTCTATAGAGGGTCAGGAGGTTATGATCAGACAATCCTTGAGGCTAGCTATCCGGGAAGTAAATCTAACAGGCAAGCTTATGCGGACATTTCGAGGCTTGCGAATCACACAGGGGTGAATGGACACCATGTCGAAGAGCTAGACGAAAATGCAAATAGCTCAACACCAAAAGTTTGGAGACCCTATTAGGATAAATACTTAATTATGTCAATTCTCGGGAAAAGCCGAATTACCCTAAAAAGATCCGTACCGGCGATCAGATTCTGGCATATAGTTAAATCACTGGCCATCCTACAGGGACCCAAAGGAGAAAAGTCCGGACGCATAGCGTCCAGATGTTGGCGGTGAGTAAAATTGGATACCAAGCAATGTACATGCAGGATACCTGCTTTAGGATTCAAAATCTTTCTGTCATTTTAGGTGCGGTTTTTAGGTTAAGATATTTGTTCCCTGCTTTAGAATGTGATCTTTAAGACCGGCTTCCGTTGACGTCGTGCGATCTCGGCAAACGCGATCGCTGGTTCTTTATAGACAGTTTCTTAAAAAGCAAAATATTTGTAAGTCAGCCCTTTTTGCAAGCCTAGCTACAGTAGTGAGGCTTAAATCTAACCTGAATCCAATACTTTTGAGAATCTATTAAAAGTTGATCAACGCAAGATTAGTTCACGAATCCATATTAGCAGCAATTAGCAACAGAATTATCCAACCAAATAATTTACTTAATCGTTTGGCATTATCAAGCAATGGTGAACCTTTGCTTTTTAAATTTTCCAGTAATTATGTAACCTTTTCGTTCCACGACAATGTGGTTCACCGAGAATCCCCTAATCTGAAGTTTCCGGACCAACGTGTTTGCTGCGGCAAGCTCATTGAGAAAATGCGACACCGTCTTTTACACATTCTCAGCCCTAAACCGCACCTGAATATCAAGACAGAGCGTCTTAGAGACCCACGTGTACAAAAAAACATTTATTTAAACTTTTTTATTTCGATTTTCAATATAAATGTCCTGTGTTTTTATTCACATGTATAGTATATGAATATATTAAGTTAGGTTATAGGTCTGCAGGGGTTATATTCACAGGACAAAAACTACTTTGAAATGATAGTATAAATTACTAGCTTTTATTGTGCAATTAGTGTCGAGACAAGACGTGTGAAAAAACAGCTCTCTCGTAGGGGCAAAGTGGCTGGGGGCAGTGGCTCGTAGTTACCCTATAGCACCAAATTTTGGTGAAATTTTAGTACCTGGTTGGAATTTATGGGAAAAATGTATCTTGTATTCTTAGCTCCAATCAATCATTGATTCCTACTGCTTCCGTGCTGCTTAATGCAAGTTAGTTGTTTTACACATGCTTGATCAAAGACCATTTATGCAAATTCCAAAATGCTTGTTGCCTCCTGTTGTTTCAATAACTCCCTTCTTCTAGCTTTGAATTATCTATCCCTTTGCGTAAGTGTTACAGTGTCTAATAAAGTCACCTAAACAGATGCCAGAACAATTGGTCATTTACACTTGAGTCTGACAGCAGTCACAAACAACTTACATTTGTAACAGAATAAAACACTAAAACTCAGGCTTTTGCTTCAGGTTTCAGTGGAATGGTCTATCGCGTACAAGAATTATGCAACTTCTTCTTCTTTAAATAATGTATCCTACCACAGAGTTCTCACAGATCAGGCCCTTAGTAGGACAAAATTGAACATAAATGATAGGTCCTTCTTACTTCACTGACAGCCTCCTTTAATGCAAGAACCTCTTCTGGATGCAATAGCGGAAATGTGATGAAGAAATTTCATAAAGAACTTATTGGAACCAGGCCTCTAACACGTTTATATCCCGGAGAAGCTCTTTTAATGGAGTATAGCCATTCAAATGATATCGCTGACACCCCGCAATGGCTGATGGGAAGTCTGATAATATATTAGAATATAAGGAGCTTCTTTATGAGATATTACAAAGAGACAAATTTCTTGAAGTAATTGATTTTCTCGGTTTTTGACCAAAACATGTCTAGACACATGAATCCGGTAGAGACGTGGCCCACCTTAACCGGAATAAGAATGAGCCACTATCCTGTGTATTGGCTGCCATTATTCTCATTCATGAAAAGTTTTGAATGAAAGTTACATTGACAAAGCTAAAAATATAACAGAGAGTTCCTGGTTTCACGCAAAATTTACCACAGGCCAAAAAGCTAACGGTTTCTGTTTTTGGATCTTGAAACAAAGTTTAATTATTATAGCACTTTCAAGATATATAGTGTAATTTTCTTATTAAATGGCCCAGGAGATATACAGACCTGACCTATAGAGCGCGCAAGTGGGCATGCGTGTAAGAACAAACGATTTGGGTCGGTCGGTTGCACAGTCAATGAAACCCTTTGTTTTAAACGATTTAAGTTACGGAGACCATTGCAAACATATTTCCTTACTAATGGATTTGTAACCATTTTTAATTCCAGCTTCAACCAATATACATGCCACTGTACTGAATTTGAATCTTTGTGGTTGTGTTTTTCTCAGCATGGTCTTTGTGATATCACTTTCTATGAAGGCGTACAGCTAAACCAGTTATATTTAGTTTAGGTCTACAATACCCTCAACCCAGCAGCTCAGCCTGTAAGAATTGAAAGCTAGAGGCTGTTTATGGCTGAGGCTAGTTAAAGACATGGATATTTTAGTCTTAGCGCTTGTAAGATCTTTCATCTCAGGAGCGTAAGTGATACCTTGTTTCCGTCACGTGACTCTAGGAACGCCTTGACAAAGACACGGTGAGGCCAAGAATGGACATCGCTGAAAGATGTGAAACATGCTAAATATAATAAACTCTGGCCTTTCTCACTTCAAAGGATTTGCAGCTTATTATTACTTTCTCCTGTTTTCGTCCATGCATTGTTCACACGCTCTACTCCCGATACATTCGCTTTCTGCGTAAATCATCCGCATTTCATTCGTTTGGTCGGCTGTACACCGGCGTTTGGATGAAGAGGTGCAAATGCAAATGCCTTGATACTTAAAATAGTGAAGTCACCAATTATATACGGGGTATATCTGCTTTGAAGTATCTAGCTATGAGAGTCATCTTGTAAAGAAATAACATGTCCTTCCTTAACATTAAAAACTGCTTTTTGTTTGATGAATCATAAACTCACAAGAGATAACTAGACCGGGAATTTTGGACCCAATGCTTGAAAAGTCTGCAGGTGATACGTTGCCAACTAGATTAATAATCCCTTATGTTGCAATCACAACCTAAACGCCGACGAAGACTTTTCCTGCCATGTACCCAATTTTTAGCGAAACAATTTCGTATCTATTGTCATATTACCAAACCTCCTTCTGTCATCTTCGCCTCAACATGTCAACCCTACAAATTCAAGCCTAGCTTCTGTCAAAGAATGTAATCTATTAACAAGTACAGTTTGCATTGGTTTTATACCGTCTAATCCTCAAGTCTTCTATGAATGTAACCTCCACTAACGGTTCGTGTTTACACTCTTAACCACAGCATTGGCCTTTACACATCTAAGGATTCTTTTTAGATTACCATAGATCGCCAAAATTCTGTTTTCTCCCCAGAATTATTCAGCAGCTTTCCTGGTATATTTCAGGATTAGTCACCAGCGACAAATCTTGGGAGGGCCTTTGCACTGTTTACTGTTTGCGGTTCTCTGGTCTTAATGAAATAATGGTGCTAATATCGATAGATGCGATCTGCTAAATAGGCATAACCCATTTCTTGTATCTAATTCTTTGCTTTATCGTTGAGGCGGGCATAACCCATGCTGTAGAAAAGTTGTCATCTGAAAAGGCTCTGCCTTAAGACTCTGTCTGATTGTTGATGTGACATCTTTTAAAGTTTCAACAACTGCCTCTTGCTTTTTCTAACTGACAACACAGACCTGCTGATACCGTTAGGTATTACCTGTCTCTTCTCTTTATGTAGGTTCTCTTCCAACGTTGACAGCATCCTCCTGCTATAGTATTCACTGTGTGGCCCATAGCCAACAGTAACTCAATACAGCACAATTGGAATGAAATACAAACCAAAATTATAATCCAGCGTGTCTGAAGGGCCAAATCTTCACTGTTTGTTCGCTTGCATATCTGGTTTAACCTGGCATTAGTTTCTTTACTATTTAAATAAAAGTTTATTTCTTTGTATCATGTTGAATTAATTCAAAGACAAGGAATTAGGTTCGTCCTTCGTTTCTCTATTCATGCAGAATTAAATAACCATCTTGTTAGTGAGAACCAAATCTGGCCAACAAGTCATCTTTGTCTTCTCCAGTCCAAGAACCATGATGAAATTGATAATCTTGAAGTTATGGGCTAAAAGTGTCTTGTAGTCATTTTTTCGCTTTTTAGAAGAAAATGTAAAAAGCCTTTATACTTTCCATTTTGCTAGCTCTATAACTCTAGTAAAGCCATTCGGGATGATCGTAAGACCTCTGTGGTAGAATCCATATTTTCTTCTTCTGTTTAAATATAAAAAGGTTAAGAAATTTAGACGACAGCTTTGCCCTACTAAGCCAAGAGCCAGCCCACCACAACACGGTTTTAGGATCATGTTTTCTGCTGCCAAAAATCTTCAGCTGTAAATACGCTTCCTAGAACAAATAGGCTAATACATCTAGCCACGTTTTGAATCGAAAATTTGAAACCAAAGAGGCTTGGTATTCTGGGTGCATTCATATCATAGAAAATTGAAACATACTTCAAGAAGGCATAACAAGCATTTGGAATCAAATTCGGCATAGATAATACAGTTAAATACCGGTCAAGCACCGTTGAATGCTGATACTACCACTTCTGTCCTTCTGAATACTACCACTTTATCTTGAATGATCTTGAGATAAAATACTATCTCTCATTTAGATAAAGAAGATAGACTTTTGAAGGATTGATATTATTGTTTTTTAGTAAATTGTTCGCAAGACCTACCCTGAGAACATTCTAATACATTATCTGCTACTCCCTTTATTAGTAAAATTTTCCCAACCATTATGTAGCCTGCTGCTTGTTTAGCAAAAGATTATACACTTTCGATGTCACTATGCCAAAACCAGTATCCCCTTCTTCTTTGTCCCAAAAATCATTCAGCCACCAGTCCTTGTCCGTTGAAATTCACTAAAGCCTAAATAAAACTTATGTTTTGTTTGTAGGATTTAGATTTAGCTCTTCATGGCACTTTCGTTTCGTTAGAAGATGTATGTAAGACAGAACGTAGATAATTGTCTTGGTAAATTTTTTCCTAGAATTTTGTCTTTGATAGTAACACCAATTTAGAAACTTATTGACGCTCAACACCAGTCTGATACTATTACCCCTTAACTGATTAATGAATTCGTAGCCTTCATCTTATAACCAATTTATCTAAATGAATGAGTCTGTTTTTCTTGTCTGGACAAAGGTCTTTTAGACTGGTTTCTTGTAATGATCCCTTACTGATAGAACTCTTAATATGTAGATCTATGCTTCACTCAGGTGAAATCGATCTTACCCATACGGTGGCTTTTGTATAATGTCAACCTGATAAAACCTAACACGCCTAGCAAGGTTGAAGGTCTTTTAGAAACCCCTCATTAATTTATCCAGCTAAACCTAAACAGATATTTTGAGAGCCTCTTCAATTTTCATGCAGTAACATTTCTGGCATGTTCTAAGGGGACAAAAAGTGTTCGCGTGCTTTTAACACTTAGCTTTGTCGATAACGATTTTCAATTTCAACAAGGGCATGCACATTAAATTTTCGACATTTTTGCTCAATTGAAATATCTCTTTATCAACAAGTTTCTAATGGCCTTTGTAACAACCAGTCCTTTTACAGAAAAACAAATTGAGCAGACAGGGATTCAAAACAACACTATTACTCCTTTATCAGACCTTTGTAGTCTATGAATCGTTGTAATCTAAGAAAGTTTTATGTAGTCGCAATGATAGATAACAGCAGCGTTGGTAAGGCTATATAATTAAAAATATAGACATAGGAGCCATATCTCATACATTTTACGGATTTTTGTTTGATGAACAAATCATGTAAAATGGTGTATTGTTGTCTTAGCTCTGCTAGGTCTCTTCGCTCTGTGGGTAGTTTTCCTTTTATGGACTCTAAAAAGCGTCAGCTTTCAAAATACATTAAACTAGAGTTTTAGACGTGCTAGAATGGTATGCTATTGTATATATTAGCAGCGTATGGCATTGTACATTTGATAAAATGTGTTTCAAGCAATTTAATTAATATGTATATGTATACTTTGACAGGGACCAACAATATTTGACATTGAATATTACAAATTTTATAGAATTTTAATTATCGTCATGGTAAAGATAGCTTGCAAAATGTATTGCTATATATAACAGTTTTGAACATTATCAGGGTAATGAACAGTGAGAAATAATCACCCTTATTCTATTTGTTATATTATCGTTCTCTTTTTTGTTAGGTATTTGACTTTGAATTTTGAAGTAAATGAAAAATGGAAAACTTATTAAAGTGTTATTATCTTTTTTTTCCTTTAGATAGTGTCTGCAAGAGTTGTTTACCTTGTCTTGTTCTGGAAAGTTGAAAATGTTTGTTTCTCAGGCATATTAGTATAATTGTAATGCTGACAACTCGCTGTTTTATCCAAAGATAAAATTTGTTCATTTCATTCAAAGTCTACGATTACGACAGAAACCTTAAAAGCATGAACTTTTTCATTGTCCCGAGAATTCCATACCACAAAACAGCTTGCCTCGTTTTACACATAATGTTTCAAACTTCTATTGTACAGGAAAGTACCAAATCTTAAAAAGAGTAAGCTTTAGGTAGTAACCAATAAAAATAAATTTGCTCAAGCAAGTACAACGATACTTTCTCGCAGTCATTCTTGAAATTTTCAGACCTGTCATGTTTCAGTTTTTGAAATGGGTAAGTTTTGAAAAAAGCAAATACCTTATAGGTCGGGTCCGCTTTGCTGTGTTCGCCACCCTACTGGGAGTCATTTTCCATCCCGTAGCCAAACCTTTTTAGAAACAAAGGTTTAAGCTAGAGTTTGAAAAACAAAATGAAAAATTTGAAGACACCAAAAAATTTAGTAGAATGCGTGAGAGTTCTCCATTGATGCGTGTGAGCGTGAGTTAAGGGCGAAATGCGTGTCTCACGCAAAATGCGTGAGACTTGGAAGGTCTGAATTTTGCAAGAAAAACGGAAACTTCATAATAATAACCGCGGTTGTCAGGGTATCACAAGGACACTTTATCGTAATAACGATCAACGTACAGTTATATTGATTGCCTCGTTTTCACATCGAGACAACAACATGGGCCTACACTTTTAAAGAAGTCACTGTCGTTCGTTCCGACTTGTTCAGTAATAGAAGTAAAAATGACCAAATCAGCAAAAGCAGCCAAAAACCCTGGAGCAAAGATTGAAAAGGCAAAGTCAATCAAAGGAGCTGGTGGAAAAAGAGCTGCTGGAGATCTTCCGAAAGTGAAGGTGAATAAATTGCACCGTACTTTTTTCCCCTATTCTAGGGTCGTTTCAGTCAGCGTATGGCATCCAGTATGAAATGGAAGCTATGTTCACGGCACATGTGCCTAGGTACACTTCTTTGAATGCACAAGTTTGTGCACAACCTCAGATTTTCAGTAAAGTGCACACTAGATACCCTTTTAAATTGTAAGAGTCACCAAAGGCGTTTAGCTTAATGTGTAACGAGCGCATGACTGTCCTTATAGAGTGGCCTCGCCCTCTTGGTGCACTAAACTGTTAAAAAGTCTGTTACCAATGTATAAAAAGAATATGTACCATTTACAGTTTTCCAAATGAGGGCTTTCAGTTCCTTTAGGATCCATGTTCAACATTCAAAACAGTTTCCTAGTACATTAACTACAAGCAATTTTGTCGTAAAAAATTTGGGACAAATATTTTGATGAAATTTTCTTCGACTAAATTCAAAATGAGACAAAATTTGCTCACGACGACAATTTTTGCATTTAAGATTTTTGAGAATTTGCGTAGAAAAACTATTCAAATTGATGTATCCTTTCAATCTATTCAATGTAAATTAAGTCATTTAACTCATTCACATTTTACGTTATTTACATCTTTATAATTAACTTAATCTTAGGCATCATTGTCATCATCATCATTGTCGGTTCTTAAACTAACTTCATTTCCGCCATCATTCAATAAAAATAGTTTGAATTCAGTGATGTAGCGAGGGGGAGACAAGAGGGAGCAGTGCCTCCCCCCCTCAAACTTCAAAAAAATTTGTCTAAAAAGGGCTTTTTCTGGTGTTAAATAGGGTGCCATATAGATATAGCATAGAAATTCTTTGAATACTGGAAGCATCTCTTTTGACCCCAACTTCGCATAATCTGAATAAATATGCAACATTAAAATGGTTTTCCTGCCATGCTGTTCTGTTTGAAAAGCTGCTTACAGATTGACCAAAATTCTGAATGGGTGTTCTCAAGTCTCTAAGAAGTCAGTACCTATGGAATTGAAATAAAGCAACCTGTTTGGTTTTGCCTCTTAAGTTTTTTGGTATATGTTGTTATCTTTGTGTTTAAAATCCACAACTAAATTTTTTCACAATGAAATTCTGGGAAGGTGTCCAAAATTTTTTTTGACAATTTTTTTCCGCCAAAAATTTGTCTGACAAAACTTTTTGTATTAGCAAGTTGAACAACTGGTTTTTTTTATTTATGAAATCTAGGCTGGTCACCATTGTGGTGCACTTGAAAGTTGCAATTTTTACAGACTTTGAAAATTAATAGAATTATTGTGAATGATCAATTCTTTAAAAACAAAACAAATAAGTCCAGGCTGGAAAACTGGCATATGCTGGCTGGACTTCTTTTGAGGAATATTTTTTCTTTAGAATAATGGCAGGCTAATGACCTCTCACCGGTTTTAAGGAAATTTAAACTTTAACTGCTGCTTTTTACGAGTTAGAGAAATTTGCTAAGTAGACCACTAGTGTGTTATTTTTGAAAAGTTAAAAGGGAATTTTTACAGTTGCTCCCCCCTCCCACCTGCCTGTAGGGTGTAATCGGGTGCCTATCCTTTTGACTAGTAATTTGAATTTCAAAAATAAGGTCTGTAATTCATTACGTCTTGTATGTGTATTCTATTACTATTCGTCACTCTATAAACTGAGTTGCAGATGTTCATGAAATTCTTACCACTTTCACTTGCCACATGGTGGCAGCCTCTCTTTTTGTAGTGAGCAGTCATTCCTCTTTTACTTTTGAGTGGCATTCTTTGGTGGGCCATGGACATGCAAAGTTCTTGTCTTGTTGTCAATTGCAATTTCGTTTTGAAACAAATGATGATGATAAAGAACAAAGCATTTTTTATTGACTGAGCAAATCTGAACATTTATTTAGAATTTTAAAGGCATGATCCTATTGTTCAAAGCATTTGATGCATTTGACAAATCTTATTGTTTTAACGAAAATACCAGTTAAACTTCAATTAAACAAACCTTAGTTTTCCAACTACCACTTAACACTGATAAAACTAGTAAGCTCTTAAATTTAACAAGAAATTTTTCCAAAGTGCTCAGTTGAGGCTCTAGAAAGATTAAGATTCTCACAAGGCCTGTGTACAAACTAAAAATTTAGATAGATCAAAATCTTAAGCCTGCTAATAGAGAAAAACTGGACTTCATGGGCATCATTTTTACTTTTGTAAGTCATTTTTAACAGAATAAATACAAGAGGTAAACCATTGAATTGACTTCAGGTTTGGGTTTAGGTTGTCAGTTCAGCTTTCATGAAATGAAATTAATTTTTACAACTGAGATTGAGGCTTGGCCCAATTTGAGAACGTTGATTTTGAAGACTGCCTCGTTAGACTGTTGCTTTGACATCAATTCTGTATAGGTCTTCAAATTTAACCTAAGCTGAAATTGAATATTGTTTGTTATTGCATTTAAATTTGATTTTGGTTTCAAAATTTTTAGCTCCCTTTAGGAGGTGACAATCCCTTGTCCCCAAGTGGCTCTGGTTCTTTAAGTTCCCATTCACCATTGACAAACAGGCAAGCAACAAAGCTATGGTTTCAAGCAGAGATTTCAAGCATGATGTAAGTAAAAAGCTTGTTGACATGTTTATATAAGTTAGGATAATAACATTTTATCATTTGAATAGCTCTAATTAGATAGTACAACAGAGAATCATTTGCCAAAAATCATGCAGTAAAAGGGCCATTCAACAATGAGCGGGAAAAACCCGAAATCATATAATGAGAACATTGCAATACCAGGAGTTAAATTTTTATGTAGCCCAGTATGCTTGAGGTAGTTCACTGAGTTTTATTAATTTATATACATTTTTCATGACAATAGTTATTTCTAGTTGTACATCATGTATTGCTTTGGGAATTTCCATTTTTATCAATGCCAGTTAATTTTTTTTGGAAAAGCTTAACTTCTATACCTATAAACCTATATTTGCATTATGGAGTTCTTAAATGATGTTGTCACAAAGTATACTTTTAAGTTGTTTGAATTTGGATCAAATGGCATGAAAGAACATCATGAAATATATCTAAATGTGTAAAATTATTTATAAATGTGTTGCAATATCATGGTAATATCATCACATGAATACAGGCTCTTTCCACATCAAATCATTGTCATTTGGTTCTTTTGTAACTTAATAAACTGCCACAGTAGCAGCAATCCCTACAAACTTTGTCTCTTTATCTTACCCAGTTTGTGACATGTTCAACTGATATTGTATATTTGGCAATTTTCATCATTGAGTTGTGTGGTCAAAAGAAAGAAAAGTTATTAATGATGTCACACTTTAGATACTGTTTTTTAGCCTGATGGTAGAACTAACACTGCAAACTAACTGTTTTGTCAAATTTCTTTGATTTCAAAGCTTTTTCATAATTCATTCTTAGGTATGCTTTTGGTGATTGCAGAAAGCCATGCCAAGAATCTGTTGCCTTAGTTGAGGATATTGTACGACAACAGATGAGTAATTTGGTAAGAATAAAAATTGGCACATGATTGTATTTTTATTCTTATTTTAAGCACGGCAATAAGCTTTTCTCTTCACAGCACAGAATAGAAGTTATAAAGTTACATACAGGATCTCATGTTCATAGATTGTTTTTCGTCCTAGATGGTTATCCATCATTTTTTGCATTTTTCCACAGCTAGTACAGACTGCAGATGTTACCAGCATGAGAGGAGGAAAATTCATGAGCATTGATGACATACTCTTCCTGCTGAAAAGAAACAAAGTTAGTTCTCATAAAGTACTGAATTGCAAATGTTATCATCTAATTACCACTAATGTTGGATAGTTATTTTGGATATGGAAAGTAACTCCAACCATCCACTAGGTATAAATGTTGGCAAAAGTGATGAGAATGAGAAAGAACAGTGACAATATTGCAGAGGTTTTTTAATGAAATCATAGAAAGGAAAAATGAAGTTAGACACTAGATGATAAAATGAAGTTAGAAAGATGTCCTGAAAATCCTGTAACTGTTTGTTAAGGAAAATGATTCCAAAAGGGCCTGATTTGTAGCTAATTTACTTGCAAAACCTGTTGGAGCAATTTCACAAAATCTCCACAGGTTTTCAAAGTTGTTTCCTTGAAAAATTATTGTCACGCCGCACCAAAATGCATCATTTTTTTTAGCCTTAGAAATAGCCGTAGAAATAAGACAATAGAAAACACAAAGCGCTCTTACTCAAGTTTTATATGCGGGATAAACGTGTTTTAATGGCGATGAACGGAGGAGTTGCTGTCCCCTCTCCTCTTTCTAGAAAAAATTCAAGTTTTCGTTTTCTTGCCGCGAAAACTAATGTTTTCAGTTTTCAAAGCCCTTGTTTGTACAAACTCCTACGAATATTATTTTTGGCAAGTATTTCCAGCCACCTGTAACCAGCCCCTCTCCCTCCCCGTTTGACTCGACACTGACATTGATTTGACAGGGGCAACTATTAAGAGGAAAAATGAAGTCGTATAGACACTTCAATACTGGGGAGCATTGACTCACCTTCACATTAATTGTTTCTCTACTGTTCCATTGGTAAGAATCTCTAAGATTCTGAAAATCTCCGAAAATTTCTAGGACAATAAGCGAGTGGTTTAAAGCAGCAAGTTACTTTTTTTCAGGGCAAGACGTCTTCTCATATAAAAATTTTTGTCAGTATATCTTACAGGTATCAAATGCAAGCTGTAGTTATAGACCTCAATAGAATACTTTGCAACTAAAAAGTAGGATGAATTTTTGTACATCCAAATGGTTATTCAGTTAGCTATAGTTTAGATCAATCCATTGACAAACAAGTGGCTGGGGTCTAGGCCAGTTACATTTCTTCACAAGTCAATTGATTTCGTCATATAGGGTATCTAAGAGCGTCCCATCTCTAAGGTAGGATGTTACAACGGCCAAAAAGATATGTATCATAGCAAAGACTAGATAAGCGGTTTTCACTGAATTCTTACCGTGCTCTTGTTTTACAGCCAAACTAGCCCTGTGTTAAAAGAAATGTTGAGATGTGATCTATATAATGATGACAGTAATTCTATTGGCTTTAGATAATGGTTTCAAATAATCATCAGGAAATAATAACTTCGTGAATCAAGTGCTTTTCAGTGACAGATAAGAGACTGTCAACTGGTTTTCATATGGAGTGGAGAGATAAAGCTCATTATCACCATTACCTGGTTTAGTTGATTCAATGAGCCAATTTTTTAAAGGTTCCAAACCAAAAATGATAAACCTATTTAGGCATAAAGGCCCTGGATTTTGGAATTCATGGTTTTTGCTATCAATTTGAGATAATAGACAGGAATTCCAAACTGACCTTAAAACTGTCATATTTTCACCAGTGTCGACAGTACAAAACAGATGTTGATTCTTAAATGTTTTTCATTAGGAAAAGCTGAGGCGGGTGATCCGTTACTTGGATTTTAGAGACTCAAAAATCAGGGCGACAAAATCCGCATCTCAAGACGAAGATGAAGTTCTAGAATCAGCCGGTAATCTCCTATTCAGCTCTCCTTTTTTCGCATCATTTCTATTGAATTAGCAACGAGTTTTAGATTCCCTCGTTACACCGTTATTAGGTAATTTAACGCTCCTTGTGTCAATAGAAGAACTATCTTATTTACCTAAGTATTAGTGCTGCTGGAGTTTAAGAAAATCTTCGTTATGGGAGTTCGTTTAATTTCGATATAGGTTTTGTATAATAGTCTTTGTGAATTGATACAGTAAAACCTGTGAATTGGTTCAAAAAGCTAGTGCCTCGGTCACTATGTACCAGTTTTGTTAGGAACTCATTTGAAAGAACGTTTGAGTAAGATTTTCTGGAAATCCCATCTGTAGACAGAAATTTATTTAGAATCTTGTTAGAATAGCTACAGTATCAGGTCAGCTGTATCGTTTTAGATTCTGGTTATTCGATCTTGCAAATTATCTCTAGTATAGTGTTTTAATTCCTTTTGCCCATCATTTTTCCCACATGATTTCATCTACGGCTAAGAAGCCCTGATGACTGTTTGACCACGGGAATAGAAAAAACCTCACGAAAACTTATAATCTCTCAAGGACAATTCCATTTCAAAGGAAATAGGATGTATTTCTTGAGACTAGTTTTGTATCCTCAGCCCCTGTTATGTTCCTTAGTTAGGGCCGGTATAACTAATGGAGTGTTAACTCTAGCTAAAACGTAAATCTTGATTACTACAATACTTAATAGTTTGCCTTAGTTAGGGCCGGTATAATTAATGGAGTCTTAACTCTAGTTTAAACGTAAGTCTTGATTAAACTTAGCATCAACTTTTTTTCTTACCCCCATTTTCCTCTGTCGTTGGTATTCTCAGCCCGTAGTAATAAACGATGAAATGCACTGGCTAATTATAATGATTTCTGTGTATTTGATAACGATGCAGATGGTTTGATTCTGTTGACTTTAATTTTTTGTTTCTTTAAATTTTGCATTTGTTATCCCTCTTGGAACCGGATTTTATAGTTGCGAATAGTGCCCTTCTTTTAGCTGTAGTTTTGTTTCCAATCAAATGTTTGTGCAATGAATACAAGTATCATTTTGCCTTTTATAGTATAATTTACATTTATTCTAAATGCAATATTTCTTTAACTAGGATGAAATATTTATAGTTTTTTAGTAGCTATCTTTCCAAAAATGCATTTACTGTTTTTCGGCATTTTTGCTTTTATGATATCAATGTTTCCTTTATTCTATATTTGCTTATTATTATTTTATCCGTTGTTTATTCATTTTTTATTGCTCGATTGAATTACTGTTGTCGCTTATTCAACAGACAATGAAAAATGTGATTTACATTCTTTTATTGGGCTTTTTGTACCTTAAATTGAATAAATTAAATCCACTTCACTGATATCACAATTCAGCTCGAAATCTCCTTCTTAATCAATTGAGTTCCCATCAAAATCAAACAGTAAGACGCCAGATATAAGGTTATTGCCGATTCGAATCTGTGCGTTTACTGTTAATATCTAAATTAAATATACTTCAGTGCGGCTTCTTTACTAGAAATTGCGGTCGCGATGTTTAGTTTTCAGTTTTATTATCCTTTTATTAATTTATCTAATTATAGATTGATAAGAGTAAACATTTTGAGCGAATGTCTTCCAATGTTTGTAGAAATCATTAGTTTGAACAATTTCATTTTATCTTTTCTGATTGTTCTTAAATTGTTGTCTTCTTGCATATTCTTTTCTCTGTTTATTCTTGTTATATTTCCTTTATTCCAGCGTATTCCAGCATTTATTTGTCCCATATTCCCCTTTCTTATAAACACTGCATCACACGCCTTGATTTTTAATTTTCCTCTTCCCAGATTTTTTTCTTTTTGCTTAACTCTGCCCCACCCGTTTTTGTGTCAATCACATTATTTTATCCTAATCTCAGCCATCAGTATTTGATTCAGTTTCGATCGTTGTTAAATTCTGCTATTGTTAAATTTTCAGCATCAACCCTGCTATTGTTGAATTTTGACCGATCACAACCCTAGTCGTGTTTCTCAAAAGTAGGCTAAATAACTGTACAATAGTACTATTCACAATCTCGAATTCCTATGTAAAATCCTTTCTGCTAAATTCAAAGACTGATTCCATCACACGAGCGCCTTGCTACTGTTTCCCTTACTGACCGTTCCCAACGTGTTTATCAGTAGTGACCCTCTACACGAGGTATGCAATATGCTAGGGTTACTCCAGAAGACTCAATTTCACTATTGCCTCACTTTAAGGACGTTACAGCAGCTTGATAGGTCTAACGATTCAACCTTGCATCAATTCAATAGTGTTAATGGCGACGGGTAGAGTAAGTCTAGCAGAATATACGATTGACATGGTAGTAACCCTGTATTGTTCATTACTTGTAGTTGGAGACACAGGGAAATCGGACAACAAAAGATTGAAACTGGCCTACGATTTTATCAGCTCTATTGACAACACTGGTAAACGATTGTTTGATGATTTTTTTCCTTTCAACGCTTTTTCTTTGTCTTCTGAAGAGTAAATGTAAGAGGTAGCAAGTGCCGGGTAAGAAAAAATTTAAAATTAGCACGGAAAGCAAAAGCTTAATCTTTTCTCGTGTCTTTGATGGTCTCTACAGTTAGTTTCGCCAATCATTGGCCACTGATAGCAGACATTTTCTCCTTTTACAGTGTCTTTGAAAGATTATCAGTCAACGAAAACAACTTGTGACTTATCAACAGGCCAAAGTAAAACAAAAACGAGCGCATTTGCGATCGGAAGCCAATGATCCTAGACTTTATGTCACCATCCAGCCTTTCAGACAAGCATATATCCCATAAGGTTCATAGGGCGGCATGCTTTTCAATTATTCTAAAAAAGCAAGAAGCTCTTACTGTCCAACGCGTAACACATTATCATAGAAAATACTATCCGTCCGACACTCTTCGAAGTCTAAATGTTGGATAATGTTCAAAGTTAAGCAGAAATAATGTCCAAATGACAGCCACAGTGTTTTTTGTAAAAATCATAATGCCCAAATAACTGTGAATCAGATGTGTAGGTCAAAACTACATAAGAATTGTGAATCAGATGTGTAGGTCAAACTCAAAGTGCACCAAAACATTTAGTGACGATAATTTAAAGATCATTGGGCACGCAAGTATTTCATGTAAGTGTTTTGGAATTTGTCTACATCAAAACAAAGGATCCCGACTTGTATAGACAGAAAGAGTTCGTTTTCTCTCTTAGCCTATCAGCTAGTTGAAAGGTTAGCTTATAGGAACGAAATTATGTAGCAAGAATTGCCGTGCTTCCTATCTTGATTCCTGTAGCTTTGGGTCTTATTTAACGTACAGAGAACACGGAGCCAGAGAAGGGACGATGTGGCTGTTGCGTGTCTTAATTCTAACCGAACTCAGTATATATAATTTACACATATTTATAGCCGTTGAATATCAAAATTTAAATGTGCTGACTACGAATGTGTTGGGATGATGTAATAATGATGCATTATGGGAGGAAAGATCTAGACTTGGTAAGGAGTCAGCATGACTTAGATGTCTGAAGCTGCAAACGATGATGAAGGGAATGTCTTGTGGTATGTGATACCGTGAACGACGTAAGAGGTATTATGGTGATGGCATGAGCAGTGAAAGAGTGAGAATATGGTCTGTTTTACAATATTAAAATCACTACAAGCCGATTGGTCAAAAACAAGAACCAATGAAAAGCGACATTCTTCTTCTCACATTACCCTTCGATCCATATCCGGATATAATTTTTTCCCACCTTTGGAAATTTTCCGAAATTTTAATTTTTAGGAAACGAGTTTTTTTGTATATGCCAATTACTATAATTAGACATCTGGTTCATTGACCTTTATGCCTAGCTATTCTTGCAGTTATGATATTATTATGCATGCTTTAGGTGAACTTACAGCACTGTTCGACCAAGATGGATACGAGGATAGGGTGCGACAAGAACGTCTTGAGGTACCATAAAGGCATATACATGTTATATATCTTATGCTTACGTAATTGACAATGTGATCCAATCACGTATGACGTAGACGTTTGTTTATTTTCTGTCCTCGCATCCGAAGGTTGTTTTCCTCGCACTGAGAGGCTTTGCTTGTCGAGCAGTACCATGGACTTTCCTCTCGATGTGACCATACCTCGTGATTCCTATGCCTGGAATTAACAGACAGCTGACCATTTATTGGACACTGAGAAGCTATTCTTGTCGAGCAACTCTCTGGCCCTTCCTCTCGATGAGACGACATCTCGTTATTCCTACACCTGAATTTACAGTGAACTGGTGTCTCTCCGCTTTCTAAATGAAAGCTTTGTATGGCAGGATATCTATCCTTAGACCCTTGGATCTGTTATCTCTGATCCTAACAATTAAGCTATCTCTACATTAAGACCTTGAATCAAGTTTTTTCTTTGAAGACCCAGAGTCTCTTGATTACTACGAACTTTAATTAAAGCTTCAAGTAAATAGATTTTTTAAGCATTTAAAGAAAGTTACTGTCTTTTAAGATCGTCAGTCATCTCGATCCATTATGTCAACCTTGGCTTAACAACAATTTTATTTTGAAATTTCGAGATAATTTTATGACAGACGAAAGTCTGGCATAAGTAGCTTTTAGCCGTGCACAATCTTGTAAGGCTTATTGACGTTTTGTTGTAGGAATAAAGGAGTAGGATACCTTGTCTATGGGCAGAATAACATGTGATAAATTTGTCCGCACAATGATATGGTTGAGTGACGTTGTACATAGAGGTTATGAACCTCTGAATAAGTGTCCAAAAATTGGAGAATTAAACCAGTAAACAAAATCCTTATTTTCTTAGCCGCTCTGCTCCAAAGTCGTTGATCATTAAACTCAGACAGTAAGATAAAAACACAAAAAATGTCTTTTATATTGCTTTTTGTTGAAAGATAAAGAAAATAGTTTTTGAAATGTAGTGTTACCAGAGATCTACCACAAGTCAGCTCGGGTAAATTAATTTTATGGAATGTAACTCGCGATCAGCTAGAGACTTGTTGCTACAATCCCTGCCAAAAGAACACTACCATCGGTTTTCAAAGGCAAATTCAGCCATCCTCATCTTCCCCTAGGAAAAATGTTAGCTGACTACCGAAAAATGAAGGAGGATATGGAGAACGGTTTTTCTTGCAACATGAATGATGACTATCAACATTGTTCTGTAGGGAAGGGTGTTAAAGTAGTAGTACCCACCCCCTCGAAAAAATCCCCCCTCGAAAAAGCCCCCCCCCCTCGAATAAGCCCCCACCCTAGAGCTACAAATTGTCAATAAGAAACCCCCTCGAATAAGCCCCACTGCTACCGTAAATTATCGAATTGGACCCCTCAATTTGATGATTTTGCCATCTAAGGTCGCCTATGGCGTTTTATTGAATTACCACGACAAATTCGTACTTTTGGTAGTAATTAATTAAATGCTCATAAAGAAATTCCTACTAGAATAAACACGATCTTTTTATAATGTCTTCTTAACGCCTACAATAATTTTATAAGCCCCCCCCTTTGTATAAGCCCCCCTCGAATAAGCCCCCGTCCAAAAATATCAAAAATAAATAAGCCCCCAGGGGGCTAATTCGAGGATTTGCGGTATTCAAGAAAAGACATAAAAAATAGAAAGTTGCAACGCATATTGCTGGTTGTTCAACGAAATTTTGGCAGGCATTGTAGATATTGGCACAGAATAAAAATGACCGGAAGGGTCACTCGTGTCACTCGTGCAAGTTGACTCGATTTTTATTCGCTGTGATATGACGGCTAAACTTCCAGGCTAGAGGTCAACTAGTCTTCCCATCAGTCCATTCTTGTCTAATTTCAATCTTCTTAACCATTTGACCATCTCAGCCATAGTTTGTTTTTGCTTAATGCTCTTCGTTTTTTCATATGATATGATGCAATGTAATGTAGTTTAATATAATTCAGTTAAATATATAATAACTTATATTGTAATTTAACAATAAATGATCTAATAGAATATGATATAGTATAATCAAATATGATATGATTTTAGGTTATAAAATGTAATATGGTATAATAAAATAAGATATAATATTCTATAATATAATGTGATATAATATAATATAGCATAATATAGCATAATATAATATTATAATATAATATCATAAAATAATATAATATAATATAATATAATATAATATAAAAGTCTAACATAATATGATAATATTTAATTTAATATGATATACTATTATATTATGTAATGTAATATGATATGGTATTATAAAGTATAGTATATTATTCTGTAATGTCCTAAAGTATTTCTCGACTTTGCCAATATTTCAGTGCTGGTCGTTGTTAAAGCATTGCACTTTTCAATAACTCGTCTCGTTGTCCGCAAATCCATATTCCCATTTTTTGGAAAAGAAGATGCAAAGGGTCAGAAAACAGCATCTAATGCTACTTTTATTTTTTAAAGAAAATTCTTGTTGCATCTTACAGCAGTATTTTCAATTTTTATGTCCAAGCTCGGTACAATAAAAAAAAGTAACGTTCATTTATATATTGAATTCCACAGAGAGCTGAACGACTTGCGAAATCACTTGACCGCCAATCGTACGTCGAGTACACAGAAGCTAGGCAAGTTAATTTCAGTGAGTATCTCTATACCAAGTTTTAAGATTTTAAATGGCTTTATTTAATTGAATTTTTTATTGAATTTATATATTTCATTTATTTTATAACTAGTTAAAGTAGACCAAATTGTTCTTCCTTTAACGTATCATTGATTTTGATTGATACTGTCGGCTGCTAGACATATACTCAATATTAAACCGTTTCTTCAAAACCGTATCTTCAATGCTTGATTTGCTTTTAGCGTGATGCGTGAAATCAAGGCACTGTATTTTTCAAAGATTCTTTAAGCATTTTCAAAGACTCTTCATTAAACATTTTTAAAGACTCAGTGACAGACGGTATTCAGCTGAATTTGCGAGCTGTCTAAATACTTATTTTCCATCGAGAGTACGATATGATACGTTTTTGACGTCACAGTGATATTGCTTAAGCACAAGTGGTTCCTATGGTCCCTGCGCTTTTAACCCAGTAGACACTTACGCCTTAAGTCTTCTCGTTTATACACTCCAGATTTACCGGCAGGGCTTCTTCTGTGAGATATTGTTAAACAAAATCTAGAGTGAAAAGTTTCCAGGGGTTTAATTTACACTACTAAAACATATCCTTGGCGATGTTACCTCCTTCTCCAATCATAGCAACACGAGGTACCCTAATTAACCCCTCAGGTCTAGCCCTACGTGTTTGTATTATCTATAGGCTTGCCTGCTCATGTAGTTATTTTTCACTCGTTAAAGCATACAGGAAGATATTGTGAAAATCAGTGGCGGTCAATTATCTACCAATAGATTTATTTGTGAAAATATTGCTAAACACATCGTATAGAAATCCTCTTCTGAAAAAGTCGAAAATAATTCAACTATTGCATTCTATAACGAGTTGATTGCTAATTAGACTCTTTGCAAAAGACCCTTTGCTAGTCGCAAAAAATAGCGCCCCCGAATCTGCCTCTAGGCTGTCAATTAAGCTCTGACACAGTTTTATGAGATTCACGTTGATCTCAAGACTTTCGTGGGAGTCAAATTAATTAAATATTTAACAATGGGAAAAATGTACAGTCGATCAAGTGAAACCAAAACAACAGAGATTTGTGCTTTCTGTATGCCCAAGGGAGAGATATCTGTGATTTTAATTGCAACGTCCATTAGTTCATAGGCATAAGACCCTTGGCTTAGTCTTTGTACCATTTTCGCATGTAACAAAAGTGATGAACTAATCCCGTCTGTAATAGAGGAACCCACTTTTCTCTCTGTTCTGCTGGCGTAATTATCGTTACTGGCTAAAACTGATTACCTCTTTTAATTGACTGTATCTGTTTGGTGTATTCTGTCATTATTGGAGTTTTACTTAACCACTTCCAATTAATTTTTTTCCAAAATTCCTTGTTTTTGTCACTATTCTTTGTTTAAACAGCCAACAGTTCAATTCAAGTCCTTTATCCTTTATATTCCCATTCTAAAACATTTTTGCAAAAGAGCGCTATAATTTTTCGGTATGAATTAATATAATTTAATGCAATATGGTTTCTTTATTAAAATTGGCTATGAATTTTAAAATTTACTGTTTGCTTTGAGCCGATTGAACTCTAAGTGAGCAAGTGAGTTCTTAAATGTAACGTGACAAAAACAATTTAAAATTTTTTGACTTAAAGAACTTAAAGAACAACACGGAATACTTTAAAATATGCAAAATCAATCGAAATATTTCTAGAGTTGAATAGGATACGACTAGTGAAAGATTTAAAGTTTACTGACGGATTACTTTGATTCGGGCCTGGTTCATAGAGTTATAAACCAAGTCCAAATTACAGAGGTTTGCTGGGGCAAGAGCCGGTGCTCATGTGGCCATATGTCTGCCAGTCAGTAACACAATTGAATGATTTTGCACATTGAGAGGTATTTCATGGTGCTCTTTCAGGATAGGGGATCTAAATTCAAAATTTCTAAAAATAGATTTTGTGACGTCATGACTTTAGAGCTCTATATTGCGTTTGTCCCTTTGAAAACTTATCTTGATGGTAAAGTTTGTTTTGAACCAAAGATGTATGGTTGTAGAACTATTAAAAATAATAGAAGTATAGAATAACAACCAGTCTTCCTTGAAGGAAACCTGAAGTATTCTGAAACGATGTTTTCCTAGATGAAGCAGTTTTTTTTACTTTCTATGTTCTGACGTTTTATGCTCTTAAGAGTGTCAGACAAAAGGCTTCAGTACACTGAAATCTTTGCTTTTTTCAAAGCCATTTTTAAGTTGTCTACCACTAAAAGATCGTTAGTAACATAGAAAAAAGACATATTACTTTTCGCGCTATTTATATCTTGCTTTTAAAGATAAACAAAAATTTTCGAAAACCTTTGATGTACTTTTCTTTCACCCGTGATATTTGTTAGTAGATTATGATGTTTGATTTGATAGCGAGGTTTCGACGATATCGACGTTAAGTTGTTTAAGTTTTTGAACACGAAATGACAGTGTTTTAAGTGATTCTTATGGAGGTGGCATTGAAATGAAATTGGTATGTGGTAAAAATACACTTCGGAAGATCCTTTAACCCAATTGGAGAAAAGTTTCAAAATTGTTTTTGAAAATCGAATCCAATACAAATACGGCTTTACGAGCATTAATGTATTTTCAAACACAGTTATGAGTCAATTGTTGATTGCAGGAATTTTTAATGGCTGTTCTTAGACTGTAATAACAAGCTATCTTTTTAGACAAAAAGGCTGGGAAATTCAAAGAATGGCTGGATGTATCATCTTTGATTGACGTCAAGCCCAGTGGAGCTGTCATGGAGATTCTCAGCTACATGGCATATGAAACAGTAGGACAGGTATGCTCTTCAACTGAACTTTATGCTAGAGTTCCTGACTGATTTCTGGTATTTGTGGTTTTTACATAGAATTTCTAAAAAATTAAATAAGGGCTGTGATTAATAAATGCAAAAATAACCTAATCCTCTATCAGTGAGATTACCATTAGAAAACTCTGTTGAATGATCTGTTTTCCATTCAGGTGATCTCTTGAATTTTTCAAGGGTTTCTTTTAGAAGATAGGATTTATGAATATGAAAAAGGGATTGTTTCTTTAATTGGGCATCTTACCGTTCTTTTGTATAATTCATGATTAAAAAGTGTATTACTGACCGGTTCAACGTAAACACGGAGCTATTGATAGCTTGAGAGGGCCATCGCTATTGCTTTCCAGAGATGTGTCTAAACATGTTGATAAAAAAGTATACTCTTTTTCTATAAGAGCACTTTTATAGGAACAAGTGCCTCATAATTGGTCAAAAGTAAAGAACAAATTAAGAACAAGCTGAGGCTGAGCTACTGTAAGATGCAATTTTGAACAACGTTTAATTTAAAAAATGAAAATGTTTAGCCGTTTGGGTGCTTTTTCGGTGAATTTTCAAACTTACAGGCAAGTGAAGGCTGTCTCACTCATTTTGTTGGCAGATGAGGCCTGAACACTCCTTCCTAGAGCGAAAGAGCTAGCAATTGCACTGTTTACACCCTATTAATTTAAGAAAAAATTAAGAACAATACAACCTCAGATTTTCGAAAAATTAAGAACAGTCAGCCTGAGCTTGGATATACTTGTTCTTATTAAAAAGAGTGTATACTTTGTTGAAGTGACGTCAAAGCTGCTTAAGTTAGATATACCTAGCACCCAATATCCTAGCTTGACTGGATTGTCCTAGCTTCTTTTCAAAGGACGAAAACTTTCGGTTACTTTTAACTGTAAAACTTCCTTGGTTTTAATCAGAATGTGAACAGAACCCGGCCAATATAGCAGTTATTCTTGGTACGAAAAAGCTTATCCTAATGAAGGAGGCCGCGTATGCCACTCCTTTAAATCCACTGTAAAATACTGAGGGTTTTCTTAGTACTCCTTTGTTTGAAACTGAAGCTTTGCTATTTGTTATGTATTATTTTGTAAGGAATCTTTTGTCGTTTTTTTAATTTACTTTTTATCTTTATAAAAGTCGATTAGTCTCGTGTAAGCCTGAAATAAAGTGATAACTGTGTTAAAACTGGGTTTTTATGAAAGTATAAAAACAGCAAAACTTCATTTTCGATTTTTATCAATACAAAAATATTGTAAGTCCCAGGGAGCGGAAATACCAGTCATTTCATAGCTGTGATTGTAAGTTGGACTAAAAGCTGTTTGTAACTGTTTTCTCTTGATAAGTATTTACATCAGAAGCGTTGTGGCCTGGGAACAAGGCATGGGCTATTGGCTCCTTCTATGGGTCATTGTATTTGTATTTGTTTCTACCAAGCATCCGAAGGTAGATTTTAGGACACTGAGAAGCTATGCTTATAAAGCAGTGTCCTGGTCCTTTCTTTCGACATGACCACAACTGGTGATAGGCTCACTAGGCGATTATCACGATTATCACGATTACGACGATAACGATTATCAAATCATGCCCTCATCAACGCGTTAATCGTATACATATAATGGCTATTCACAGGAGGAAACAAATTCCTTGCAATGATGAGCGCTGCATATATCTTAAGTAAACGTAGAGAGAGAAGAGAAAAGGTGAAAGATCGAGAGAGAATGACGAGAAGGTTCTGGGTCAGAGATATTTTCAAAAATAAATCTTTTAGCGAATATCGTGGATTGGTTCAAGAACTACGACTGATAGACCGCGAATTTCATTACAGATATTTTCTCACAGCTTCAAAAAGTTTCTCGTCGAATTCCAAGCTCTCACTCTCCATTTGGAAATCAGAATGTTTGATAAGATATCCTAAACAAAACGCACACTATTTCGTTTGCCTTGGACACAGTGCCTGGAACACAGTGCCTTGGACACTCCTTTTCCTTCAAAAATTCTTCACATTATTTTGAACTAACGTCATCGAATCACGATTACCACGAATAGATATAAAGAAATGTTTATATCCTTTCGCGATAATCGTGATGGTTTTATCACGATTAGAGGGCATAACACGATTACATTTGATGTAATCACTGTGGATAAAGACGATTACAGCCTAATCGTTATCGTGATAATCGTGATAATCGCCTAGTGAGTACCAGGCTTAAAGCCTTTTTGGTCATGTCAGCGACTCGAACCCCAGCCCCTTGAATCTAGCCTGTGATCCTAATCATTAAGCAAATTTTTGACTGGGTTGTAAGAGCAAATGAACAAACCTGCTTATTTAAATGAAATTTTTTGTACTTTAGCTAAAATACCCTTTTCATCTTTGCAAATATATAGCAGCTTGTAGTTGTCGTGTTTCTCTGGTTATTTTATAGACGAAAGCGAAGGGTATGAACCTCGGCTCTCTGTGTGAATCTGATTGATTAATTGTTTTCTCCTTAGATTGTTGACCTAGCACTGATTGTAAAACAAGATCAAGAAGTGACAGACCCTGTCAAGGCAGCCATGCCTCCATCTATAAACCCCGAAACTAACTTGATGAAAATATTTTCAATTGCTGGACAGAAATCGTTGTCAACTTCGGCTGCTCCCACACCAGGCCATACACCACCAGGAACTCCTACCGCTGCACAAGCCAACAGTGGCAACAGCACCAACAACGCATCGTCAACAGGAACTGGCACAAGTCTAATTGCCCCTGCGCAGGGCAGCCTCGCATCGTCACTAGGAACCGCCTCTCTTGCTTCTTCAGGCCTGATAAAGCCATCAAAGACCAAGAAAAAGAAGACTAAGGTAAGCTTTTCCCTCTGTTTTTTTGTCTACACTAATCATTGGCATGCCAATTCAATTGTACTGACTTAAGGCATTCCTAGCAACAGGTTCTGGTTCTGGGTTCTGGCCTAGCAACAGCAGTAGCCTCTTTCTCGAGTACTACTATCGCTTCTATGCGGTCTTGCTTTGTCATATACTGTTTTGACTATGCTGCAACCTTTGAAATTTTATCACTTTGTTTGGCTTTGAAATAGCTTGCTAGAATTGCTCGGAAAAAATTTGAATCTACTGTCAGTTCCTAAATCGATATTTTGAGTTTCATATGCAGCTTCATAGTCGATTTGAAGCGGCTCTGGAAGGTTTAATTTTTCTGGTTTCCGTGAGGTATTTTCTTCAAGATTTTTCCTTATGAATTTGATTAAACGACGACAATAATGTGGATTAGAATAAGCCAAGCGAGGACAAACTAGTTTTTGTTGCCATTTTTCATTATAACAGGGCTTTTTAACATTTTCATTAAAATGTAGTTGAGAATGATTGAAAATATTACCATCCTTCGAAACAATATAACAGCGTTATATAGTATTAGGCCAAATATTATGATTATGGGACAAAAAAGCCACAGAGTACACTTACCTGTCCCGAACTTACCATTACTAGCCAGTGTCATTTTACTTTCCTTTTTGGGGGTGCAAAAATCAGTTCGAAATTTGCCATGTGAATTGAATCAGTTTAAATTGAAAAAGTTGCTTTTACAAGACATTTGTTGTCAAATTTATTGACACCCATATCTTTATCCTTTGGCTGCTATCACTTCGCGTAAGGATGAGATTTTTCTAATTACAATCTGATTGTATCGAATGATGCAAATCGATTATTCATCTTATATCTTCAGGATTAAACCTAACTGAATAAGCTTTTCCAACCGTATTTGCAAGATACAATTTAATAAAGCAACTGAAATCTAAATGCTAATCCTGTAACATCTTGACAGATGATCGTCATAATTGTCATCGACATAATTTTAAGATTCTCAAACATAATCGGTGAGATTAATATATTTCAGGGTGATGCTTCTATTGCAAGCAACCGCGTTTACAAAATGTATCACCCGTATTATTGGTTTAATATGCAGGCCAATTTGGTACAATATCAAAGAATAAGTCATAGATTCCTCAAATATGCCTATTCAGTTGCTGTCAAAATTCAGTATATCATGCAGATAGACCTCCTATTTAGAAAATTATTGCGTTTAATTTATAACGGGAAGTCTCAATTTAGTACAAAATGTTCTGCTCTTGCTCCTCTGCTTTGTTCTTTTCTATTCAGTAACCCTTGTACCTCTTGATCATAATTCATTTTTGCTCCTTCAAATGACAAAACTCGACGATTTAGTTCAAAGATGCTTTGTATGCACAGTGTAATGTGTATGCAGACTTTATCTGCAGCTTTCCAATACAGCATCGATTCAGTTTATAATATGATGTCTTATATTCTTACGTTTATACCATAATATTTCAGAAAACTAAGACTGCTATGCTTAGCATATTACTTTAAACCTCTTTTAATCTCTAGTATGCTGTTTCCAGCAATATTCATTAAAAATTACTGTTGTTGCCAGCAATAATTTTCATCAGTTCGCAACTTTTACCTCTCATTTGCACGAACCAAATCTCCCTTCTTTTATAAAAATTGAATCAGGTGATTTTTTGGCTATTCTTTTCTGTTCCGTTTTGACTCAAGCACCACCTGTCCCAAACCAGATTACTCTTACTATTTTCAAGCTTTCTCTGACTTTTGTCTCCAATTGCGCGAATGCTGTCCTTGATCCAGTTGTTAGACGAACGCTTAAGCAATCGCTGAGTTTCGAGCATATACAGAGCGTGTCAACTTCTCAAATCTGTGGCGCCTGTGTGCATTTTAATTGTAAAGGCACTGTATCTAAGTAGAAATGTATGATGCGAAATCTCACAATCGCCTGTTTAGGATTTTTTCAACTTTGTGAAATGGATTGTTTTTGTTAGTGACTCGTGTAGTGCTTATGCAAAATAACGAAAATATCAAGTTTTTCATGTACTCAAAAGCTTGTAACAATATAAAATCAGGGGATTTCACCACCCCATAACACAACACATCCCTAAAACCTCGCTCTTGCTTCATTTTATCGACATAACTTGTTCACTGTGCTGTTGCCCATTTTAAGGTTTCACATAACTGGAATTATCTAAAAAACTAGGAGATGTTCAGAAACTGCGTATAATAACAACGTCAGACTCAAGATCCTGTACTTAAATTTGTTCTACTTCTTTGTAGTTGTGGTATAGGATCTGATGGTTTTTAAATCCTATCAATGGCACAAAATCCTTAGGAAATGCATTTGCGCCTAATCGATTGCATTATAGCAAAATCGATAAATCTTTCTTGGATTGGGTGAGCTAAGCTGTTGCAGAATTTCATGTAGAAACGAGATTTGTTTCGGAACAATAAAACGAAGTTATTCAGTGCATGTCTCGAAGCATACTAATACCAAACGCATAAACGGCTTTTAGTTTATGAAAAAGTATTTAATTAAAGCCTATGAATTAAAAACAAAGCAAATTCTCTGTTGCTATTCTAAGCTTGTTATAATCTGCAGGGTTTTAATACACTAGGAAACGGTTTAAATCTTTTAGCTCCGTGAAATGAATTTGCCACGCTCTATTCTTAAACACATCGTGTTTTTCATTTTGTTTACGAAATTTAAGGGATTCCAGTCAACATCCTTTAAGTTTAAGATAAAACACCATTTACCGACAGGGAAGAAGATTCTTGCCTGGGGAAGATTTTCTAAATTCCTATTTGCGGTTCGTAATGCTGGTTGCATCCAGCGTGTGCGAGGCTAGTCGTACCTGGCGCACACGAGGATGCTGGCACGATGCGCGCGAACAGAACGGCCTTAGCAATTGCCGGTGTAAATGCGTTTTGGTACCCTATGCAAAAGTACAACACTGTGAAACGCGATGTGTTTGAAATCATGTGATTTCATCGTAGTGCGATGTTATTTGTATTTGTTTCTACCTAGCACCCGAAGGTAGTTTTTAAGGACACTGAGAAGCTTATGCTTATTGAATAGTGTCATGGTCCTTCCTCTCGATTTGAACGCACCTCGTGATTCCTATATGCCTGGAATTACAGAGATCTGGCGACTCTTCACACTCTGGTCGAAAGTTTGGTCATGTCAGGGACTCGGACCACAGGCCCTTGGGTCTGTAGTCAGCGCATTCGTTCGTGTACCTAGACCGTTTTGCATGCTAAATTCCACCATTTGTTTTAGTACCCTATTGTTTAGGTGCTTGGGTACGTTTTTGCATAACCAAAATTGCCATGCCTGGACCGGATTTGTGTACCCGGACCGAGATGCGTAAGGTTACCGAAACGCATATGACACCGCCCTCTATATATCCAGCGACTCATCCTAAATGATTGGAGTTATGCAAAAAGCTCGGTGTTTCAGCTAATTTTTGCGCTCTTTGCATAGCGCTCAGGTGCAACACTAAATCTGTCTTCGTTTCTTTAAATTCTTTGTTCCTTTTATAAACACACACTGGCCACAGTTTCTCTTAGCTCTTAGAACTTTCCATTTGAATTTGCAACTGCATACAAAAAGCCTGGTCACTGGATCCTAAAATTTGAAGTCAGTCTGTTTTGTTTATGATGGCTGAACGTCAATAAATTAGGCTGCAAGCTCTGACATAATAACTAAGCATTTGCCAGAAAAAACATAGACTAAGCTCGGGGTTAAGCATTGAAATATGATAACAATACTACCATAAAAAGATTCCAAAAAACAACATTGTATCAAAGACACTCATTGGGACATAAGCTGTATTAATTTTTCAATGTATAAATAACTCTTTTCAGAACCTTGCATGCATTTCAGACTGAATTAGCTCTATTTGCTAAACACTTTTTTTAGTTTGTTCACTTAATTGGACCCTAAGTAACTTTAATGTTTTTGCTTAGGCTACAGTTTCTAAATAGATTTAGGTTTTTTGGCCATTTGATCCAATATTACTGTTTGACCCGCAATTGCCAATTATTCATTCTGGGGTTTGCCAATGTCTGTAAGGCATTTAACTTTTCAGAATTTCAAATTTAGCCCTTTAGAAATACCATACTACTGATCCTGGCACTTAATGAGTCATCTTTGCCCTTACAAGAATGCATCCAATCCAGGAAACGCTTTGTGGAATTTCCGACTTCCCAATCAGACACAAGATTGTCAAGACACAGGAATATCGTTTCTTATGTTGCGGAAATATTGAGCTATTATTTTGGTTGGCTTCATGTCTGTTTTATATGCTGACGTAACATGTTCTAGCTGATGACGCAATGCAACATATTATTTTGACAGGAAGACGTTTGTTGCGAACCAATTACCGTATTTCCTCTAATGAACGCCGCTCTCTGATGAACGCCGCCCTCTATTAACGCTGCATCCAAAATTTGGAGTTTGTAATAAACGCCGCGGCGTTCTTTAGAGGAAATACGGTAACTATTTCTCTTGCATTATACTGAGTTCGTGGGATATAATTTAGTTAAATCAGAAGTCAGTATTGAGAAACTAGTTCTTAGAGATATTATGATAGTATGAATAGAGATAGTATATAATTATCATATCTTGAAATAATATCAATGTTCCTTTGAATAATTTGTTCTTTCTAGAACTACAGTCCCTGCCAAAAGTCTTTGGACACTGACGTCAGTTTCCAAGGTCAAAATCAATCATCCCCCTCTTCCCCACGGAGCAATGTTGGTTTACTATGAAACGGGTTAGGATTTTAGGAAGCACTTTCTTTTGCGCTTCTTTAATGATATTTTGCGGAAAGAGGAGTACCCGGGAAAATAATTGAAAAATATAAAAACACAAAGCAAATTGCTTGGTGTTCCAAGTACTTTTGAAAATGATTGTAGATGAACCACCATTTTGTTATGTTAGGTTATCTCGAAGCCTCTCTTAAAATGATTTTTTTAAATTAGTG